GGGGCCAGGAAAAAAGAGGAAAATCCCAAACATGCTTTTCAGCCATGAGTGGGCTGAAGAGGCTGAGGTCTTCAGGCCAGAGGGAGTGATGGAGGCTGTTGGATGCCCTGGTGTGAGATGGTACCTTGGTTGATCCCTGAAGCTGGCACTAGGCTGGGGGCTCACCTCAACCTCTTTTCACCCCGTGGAAGGTTCTTACCAAGGTGCCTAAGAGGGGAGGCTTGCAAGGTAGACGGGGCTTGATTGTAAGGATGACACTTGGCTGTTGTCCCGGGTAATAGGGAGCCTGGGCAGGGACATGGCATCACATTTCGTGTTAAGAGCCGCACCGGGAGAGGATGGAACCGAAGGCAGAAGGTGGGTGGGCTCTGTGCCACTGAGCCCCATGATTGTCCCCAGGGCCGGGGGACCTTGGCAGGCTTGGGGGAGGGATTTGAGCCTCTTGGGGCCTCCTTGCCTCTGTGCAGTTGCTGCATTGGAAGAGTGAAGATTTCTACCAGAACTGAAGCCCTCAAGGCAGGGGAAGCAGGGGCTGGGGACAACTGGAATTGTAGGCTGAAGAGGACCCTAGGCCACCATGCTGTGAGAAAAGCTGCTTCCACCCAAAAGATAATCCATGTGCATGGCATGGCAGGCGAGGTAGAATGACAAAAGGCACCTTGTCTCCGTCGAAGACTTGCTTTATGCACCAACCCTTCTCTCCTTTTGAGAGTTGCAGCAGGCTGGGTATGGTGGCTCACACCTGTAATCCCAGCACTTTGGGAGGCCGAGGCGGGCAGATCACCTGAGGTCAGGAGTTTAAGACCAGCCTGGCCAATATGGTGAAACTCCATCTCTACCAAAAATACAAAAATTAGCTGGTGTGGTGGTGGGCACCTGTAATCCCAGCTACTCGGGGAGGCTGAGGCACGAGAATCGCTTGAACCTGGGAGGTGGAGGTTGCAGTGAGCTGAGATTGTGCCACTGCACTCCAGTCTGGGCGACAGAGTGAGACTCAGTCTCAAAAAAGAAAAAAAGAGTTTCAACAATTTGATTTTGTTCAAACTGCAACTTTTAAACACCCCTGATCATTGTATGCCTGGAGGGGTGTTAGCCAGGCCGATAGCAACATTGACTGTTCTGGGAAGACCTTGAAGATAGGTCCCCCTTGCAGGGCACCGAGCCAAGTGATCTGCCACCTGGCTAGTAGGACAGGAGAAGTGGATGTTCCCAAGGCAGCCCCACTATGCATGTACTCTGGCAGCAGACCTTGAAATGGGCTTTAACCGGTGCTCACCTCCACGGGTCATTGAGGTGCCATGTCTAGGGGTCATTTTCTTCTTATTCTTATTTTTTAAATTTTATTTATTTATTTATTTATTTATTTCAGACAGATTCTCACTCTGTCACCCAGGCTGGAGTGCACTGGTGCGATCTCTGCTCGCAGCAACCTCTGCCTCCCGGGTTCAAGTGATTCTCCGGCCTCAGTCTCTTGGGTAGCTGGGATTACAGGCGTGCACCGCCACACCTGGCTAATTTTTGTATTTTCAGTAGAGACAGGGTTTCAGTATGCTAAGATGGTGTTGAACTCCTCAAGCTGGTCTTAAACTCCTGGCCTCAAGTGATCCTCCCACCTCGGCCTCCCAAAGTGCTGAGCTACCGCGACTGGCCTAGGGGTCTTCTTAGCAGAGTGTCTGGAACAGAGGAATGCTGAGCAGTCAGTTGCCTTAACACATCCCTCTGTGGGGCACTCTGGCTGGTAAGTGGGAGGGCTGATGTTGGCCTCCAGGTTTCCCTCGTTTTTGGCCTCAGCCTTTTGGCATGCGTTTGCTGGTTGCCTTCTGAGGGCAGAGCTGAGATTCAGGGATGAACCAGTCACACTGGACTTGGGACAATAAGCCATTGCAGTAGAGTGTTTGGGGGCCCTCACCCAGCCTGGGAGGTGGGGCTAGGAAAGGCTTTGGGGTGGTGGGTGTCATACCCTCCAGAGGTCTTGCCTGGGAAGCCCGGGGTGCCTCCTGCCTTTCCAGGAGAACGGTCCTTGTTTCCAAACCAGAGGCCACCCCCCGCCACATCCCTGGGAGTTGATCTGGCCACAGAGTGGGGCTTCAATGGTGAGAGCTGGGCAAGATGGATTGTTCCCTCCCGCATCCTGGGGAAGTGCCACCCGATAGCCCCTGCTGACCCTGGGTCACCCACGCTGCCTCTGTCCAGTGGGCCAGGGAGAAAATCATTAATGGGAGGCTGGCTTCTGGGGCAGGGCAGCTCCCCTCGGGGACCCGGGGGAAGGAGATTGGTTTGACCTCTGGTCGATAAGGTCTCCTGTGAGCAGGAGGAGAGTTGGAGGACAGGGAGGGGATGCCAGAGGCCTGCCCTTGGGGGAGGGGACAGGGCTAGCCACCTCCGGAAGTCATTCCAGGAGGGTCAAAGGCCACGGGTGGGGCATCTTCCGGACAAATGCCCACCAGGTGTGGGCCTCAGGGGCACTGGAGTTCTTCTGTCCCTGAGCAGCAGGATGTGGAAGGAGGCGGGCCCCAGGTATCAGACCCGGGCTGCCAGTGGTGGAGTGGTGATGTGTGTGGCCACTGAGGGGAGGGGGAAGTGAAGAGGGGGGCACACTTGGTGGGCCAGCAGGCCAGGCCCTGCCTCACTGGGCTGTGTGGTTTGGAGCAATGGACTTAACTTTTCTGGGCCACAGTGTCTGCATCCGTTCAGTGCGGGTGAAAAGCGTTCTCATGGTGCATGTTGTCAGGACTATGAAAAGCAATAGCATCTTGCCGCATGCTAATTTGGTTTGCAGGGCTTCACCTAGAGCCCCGTGAAAAATTCCCTTGTGTTCTCCCACTAGTTACCCCTAGTGAGCCAGGCACGGCTCTGAGCGCTTAATATATGGCTTTATATGTTTAATCTTTACAGCCACTCACGAGGAGGGTGCTGTTATCATCACCCTGTTTTATAGGCGAGGAAACAGGCACTAGAATTTAATATCTTGCATAAGGTCCCTTAGCTGGAGAGTGGCACACCCTGGGTTTTGAACCCAGGGCCAGCTCCTGATGGCACTGGTGGGGCAGGCAGGGCCCTGCAAGGCAGTGGCCTGGGGCTGCCTGCAGGGGTGGGGCACAGGAAACACAGTCTTTGGGGTCACAAGGCCTGGGGTTAATTCTGCGTTACTGCTCAGTTTCCTCATCCGTAATGTGGGATCATGCTTCCGCCCTGAGGACAATCGTGAAGGTTCAACAACGTGGTCCTGCTGACATACCTGCGGGCCCAGTCCAGGATCAGGAGATAATGCAGGTCTGCTTGGGGACAGAGATCCTACTGTAGCAAATGAAGGAAACACAGGCCTGCCCTTGGGAGCTCACAGCTGAGAGGTGAGACAGATGTTTTGGCAGCCAGGGTCCTAAGAGCTCTGCCATGGGCTGAGTGGGGCTGTGCCAGTGTGGGAATGGGGGTCCCTTGTGCCTAGCATTGTGATAGACTTTGTGGGCACACAGGGGACAAACCCAGAATGCTGTCTGGGCTTCAGGAATGGCTCAGCCTTATGGTTGACATGGGGTAGGACATGCATACAACCAGAAGGGTACAGGGGACCCTGCTCCAATGCTAAATGGCACAACAGGACTCCAGGCCTTTTCAACATTTGTTCATGCATCCATTCGAGAAGGGTTTGAGTTTCTACCGTGTTAGGTGCTGCGGATATAGCGGCAAATGAGAGACACTGCTCCAGCTTTCTCTTTCTCTCTCTCTCTTTTTTTGTTTTTTTTTTGATGGTGCTACCAGTCTACTGGGGCCAAAAGACAGAACCCAGATAAGTGCTGGAAAGAAGCACAAAGCATGGTGGGGGGAGGGAGCGTGTCAGAGCTGGAGGTGGCTTCAGAAAGGGGTCCAGGAAGGCCTGCATGAGGAGGTGACATTTGAGCAGAGACCCGAGTGAGCTCAAGGGATTAGAATGTAAGGATCTGAGAAAGAGCATCAAAGCAGAGGGAAGAACAAGTACAAAGGCCCTGGGGCAGGAGTGTGCTTTGATTTTGGAATGCCCAGAGTCACGCCAAGGTGGCCAGTGGCCAGCGTGGCTGGTGGGGAGGGAGTGGTGGGAGAGGAAGGTGGAAAAGCATTCAGGGGCTCGCCTTGCAGGGCCTTGAGGCCTTGGAGGAGTCCTTCACCGCAGTGTGATGGGAAGCCCCGGAGAGTATGAAGAGGGGATTGGGTTTGGTAGAAGAGAGACTACCAGAAGGCGAGAGTGGAAGCAGAAGGCCAGTGAGGAGGCAGGTGCAAGTCGTCCCAATGAGAGGGGAAGGAAGATGAGCGCGGTATGTGTTGGTGTAACCAGAGAAGGCTTCCTGAAGGATGTGGACGGGCACAAGCTAAGCCTCAAGGGAGCTGGAATTTTGGTGGCAGATGCAAAACAAAGGCTTCACCAGAGGAGTTAAGGATGTGGGCAAATGCTTGGTGTGGAAGTGAGCATGAGGACCCTTAGGGTGTGGGGAGGAGACCCCAGCATCAGCTACAGTCACAGAGGACTTGGCCTGTTGGTCCCCCGGATGAGGCTCTCCAGGCCTTCCTCTTTCCCCATGGATGCAGCGTTCCATCCCCTCTCGTTCCTCACCCATCTCCATATGGATTTGAGTACTTTTCTTCCCATTTGCTCACTTAGTCCTCACAGCTACCCCGGGATGGAATCAGGGTAGGGGCTCTGCCCACCACTTTACCGAGAATTGTTCTTGCTTTAACTGGGGGCTGTGGTGGAAAGAGAAGCTTTGTTGTCACATAGACCTAGGCCTGATTCTTAGCTTCGCCACTTTCTGGCTGGACCACCTTGGGCAACTTGCCTCACCTCTCAGAACCCCAGTTGCCTTGTCTTTGAATGAGGGTAGTGAGGGGGTGGTTATCAGTGTGTGCCACGGCCTGGCTCAGAGCTGGTATAGAGAAGCCCTTGGTCTTTGTGGTGGGTGTGGCTGGCTCCTGCATGCAGTGGGTCTGGGACATCTGGGGTGGCTCATTATGTCCCTTTCCCTGCCCAGGTGCTGGTTGCCGAGGAGAACGTGGACTTCCGCATCCACGTGGAGAACCAGACGCGGGCTCGGGACGATGTGAGCCGTAAGCAGCTGCGGCTGTACCAGCTCTACAGCCGGACCAGTGGGAAACACATCCAGGTCCTGGGCCGCAGGATCAGTGCCCGCGGCGAGGATGGGGACAAGTATGGTATGTGCCAGCCCTCTTCTCCTACCCCGTATACATGTCCTTCCTGGTCTCAGAGACCTCAAGTTCAAACGCCAGCTCTGCTGGTCCTGGCTGTGTGATCTTGGACCTGGCACTGATCCTTTCTGGGTCTGTTTCCTGATCTGTAAAATGGAAAATGGGGATGCAATAGTGAATCCTTGAGAGCACTGTCAGGAGTACTTACTGAAGATGTGAATGAGAAGTTCTTTGGCTGGTAAATGCCCCCTAAGTGGCATTTGCTGTGGTATCAGTGGCTTGCCTGGGATGGCCTAAAGCAGGTGGCTGCTCTCATGCCACCACTCACCAGCCCCAGGTTCGGCCACTTCAAGGGGCAGGAGCCTCTAGGTGATGCTTTGTGGAAGCTGCTGGTGGTGGAAATCAGCCTAGTGTGTGTGTTGCATGCACGTGTGCATATGGGCGCTTTGAGCTTGAACCTGTGCACCTGTGATACGTGGCACGCGTAACACCTTGGGCCATGGTCCTGTTGACCTACCCTTGACCCTGGAACTGCCCAAGCCTCCTGGAGTACTTGGGAACTCTCCCCGCTCCCCTGCCTGTGCTGCCTCTGCAATGGCTGGGAGGAGTGAGACATCTCAAGGCCCTGGTCCACAAAGGTGCTCAGCAGTGAGCGAAACAGGCAGCGCTCCGCCTTCCCAGAGCTTGGAGGGCATCTGGCCTAGACAGACACTGAGCAAATACCACACAGATTATTTATTTAAAATTGCCAGGCAGGAAAAGCGGAGACTGCTGCGAGGCCTCCTGGTCCTTGCCACTCACCGGGAAAGCACCTGCCCCCACCCATTCCTGCCTTCTCAGGCCCAGGTTCTGGGGATCTGGGGCTGTGGTCCTGTGTGTGGGGCCGAACCTGCCAGCCTGAGTGTTTTGGGGATGATGCCCCGCCTGCCTGCCAGGCTGCCCGTTGCAGTCAGGACATGACAACAAGACAAATAATTTCTTGGACCTTTTATCTTGGACACCATTTATTTTCCCTCAGCCCCGGGGCAGGACTGACCTCATAGTAGGGCCCAAGTGTGGCAGCTGCACCGTCACTGGGGGCTGGGCCAGGCCAGGCCAGGCTGGGTAGGGCTGGGCCACACTGGGCTTGTGCACCTCCGGGCCAGCTGCCTCCCTTCTCCCCGACATCACTCTTCACCGCCTCTGCTCCCTTTCCACTCTCTTTCCCCTTCTTCCTTTCCCGGCTCTTCCCCGTTCCCTGTTTTGTTTCTGTCCACCTCTCTGTCCCCCTCCCCACCAGCTCTGCCTCCCTTCTTCGGACCACAGCTTCCCTCCTCCCCACCTCTCCCAGGCCCTCTGCTGGCCGCCTCTATGGGGCCTCCCATCCCTCGTGCCCCCCTCCACAGACGCCTGGCTGTGCTGGGCTGACCCAGGTGGTGGTTTTCCCTGGGATCTGCTGTCCAGTTGCTGCCAGAAGGGGCAGCTGGCTGGCCGTGGCGGGAGGAGGTGCCCTTCTGGGGAGTCCCCGGAGCTCTCATTGGCCCCTCCAGGCTGGGAGAGTACAGGGGGGTCAGACTCTGGTCTGAACCATCTGTCCACACCCTGAGACAGGAGGCGGGAGCTTGAGAGGGAGGGGAGCCCGGAAATGGCTGGCCCCTCACCCCAGAAGCAACTCGCCCTCTCATTCCCTCTGTCTGAACTGGGAACTCAGGGAATCTTTCCTGCTGTGTGACTTCAGACAAGCTCTTTGCCTTCTCTGGGCCTTGGTTTCTCTTCTGCATGATGCAATGGTTGGGCTAAAGCAGTGCTTCTTCTTCTTCTCTCTCTTTTTTTTTTGAGACAGACTCTTGCTGTATTGCCCAGGCTGGAGAGTGTAGTGGCATGATCTCAGCACACTGCAACCTCTGCCTCCCGGGTTCAAGCGATTCTCCTGCCTCAGCCTCCCGAGAAGCTGGGACTACAGGCATCCGCCACCACGCCCAGCTAATTTTTGTAGTTTTAATAGAGACGGGGTTTCGCCGTGTTGGCCAGGGTGGTCTCGAACTCTCGACCTCAGGTGACCCACCCACCTTGACCTCCCAAAGTGCTGGGATTACAGGCATGATCTGCCGCACCCCGCCATGCTTCTTAAGTGTAACATGCGTGTGACCACAGAGGGATCCTGTCCAAATGCCCGTGTTGGTTCAGTGGGTCTTGGGGGCGGGGCCCGAGTTGCTGCATCTGACAAGCGCCTGGGTGGGGCCAGTGGGCGGCACTTCCAGGACCTAGGGACTAGGCCTTCTTGGCTTCTCTGCCAGCACCACACTTTCTAAGATTTTATGATCCTCTCTCAAGGAATATGTTTCTGTACTCCTCCCACCCCCCAACACCCAGGGCAGTGCAGGGCCTTGCTGCTGCTGCTCCATTTAAATGCCACATTAGAGACACAGATGAGGCCAAGGGACCCCAGCTGTGAGCCCGGGGAGAGGAAGTGAGACAATGGAGCCAACTGAGGCTTCCAATCTAGATTATCAATACAGATATTATTGGGAGGGTGATTTATGTGGCCAAGCCGGGGCAGGAGGGTGGGGCTGCCCCGCATTAGGGGCCCGCCTTGTCTCAGGGGGAGGGCGGCCAGGGCGCCCAGGACAGTTCTGTTCAGGAACCTGCTCCCACTGAGAATGATGCAGTCTGAGATGTACCGCACACTTTGTCAGAATCGTGTGATTTGATAACATGCAGTCTCAGAGTCTCAGCAAACACTACGGATACATCCCTGTAAACACCTGGAATCTGGAATCACACGGACACTCAGAAACTCAGATTTGCCTCTGTAAAGGCCAGAATCCTGAGGTGCCGGCTCTGTGGGGGGGGGACGAGGGGCTCTTGGCCTGCTGCACAGCAGTGGGTGGTCCTTCAGTGAAATCTGCTTAGCTGTCAGTGGGGCTTGTGCACCTTGGTATTCTGCAAGAGGGTCTCTCTGTGGCCCCCTAAAGCTTTCCCAGTACCGAAAAGCTTGAGGGGCTCAGAGAGTGGGCCGCTCCAGGAATAAGGGGCTTTCTCAGCCTTGCTTTGGGTTCTGGAGGGAGATCACAGCTGGCCAGAGGGCTGGAGACTTAGGTAGTTGAATATCTGGCAGGTGGGAGGTTGTGGGGGAGGGACATCCTGCCCACCTGGGATAATATCAGCCTCCCCTCTTCTTGCCCTTGGTGCTGGACACTCTGTCCTGCAGGCAGTTGCCAGTCAAAGAACACCACTGGAATGAGAAGCAGGACACTGAGTTCCAGCCGCAGCTCTGCCGCTGAGCATCCTGCAGAGCTGGGGAAGAGCCTCCATGTCTAGGCTTAGTTTCTTTATCTGCCAAGTGGGGAGGAGAAGGCCCCCTCCACCTGCCCTCAAGGTGGATGTTCCTAAGCCTGGGATGTGACGAGAGGGGGAGGCACCAACTCCTCAGAAGGAGGGGCCAGCTGAGCCCACACGCAGGCAGACTCCAGCATCGGGGAGGTTCTGGGGCAACTCTGCTTTTAAAGTTTACGAAACCTTATGATTGGATATTCCTGCCTGATTTTATTTGAAAAAAGATTTCTCTGTTTGAGAAAAAAAAATGATTGAAAAACCCCATTTTGCTGTCGGCCAGCCTCCAGACTGACAGCACCCCGAATAACCCTGGGCAGGCCAGCACAGGGGCCCTGCTGGCCAGGGAGATGGTATTTGGAGGACTGAGCTTGTCAACTCGGGAATCCAGTGGGATTTGAATCTTGGCTCCACCACTTTCGAGTGGAAGACTGTGGATCTGAGTTAGCCTTTCTGATCCTGTTTCCTCTTCTACAAACAGGGAAATTGAAATGGGAGAATCTTTTGCCCAAAGATTATATGATCATTAAACCAGTATTAATAATCACCACCTGACCTCCTTACAGTGGGTGTGTGGGGCGGTGGTGCTGTCGTGGGCTCAGGTGAGGAGCTGCCATCAGGTACTGGTTCCAGAGGCTTCCAGAAAGGACCTGAGGGAAGAAGAAGCGGTGCTCCTGTCTGCCGTCAGTGGGACCCTGGCAGGTTAGATGCAGGTAGAGGAGGCGTCCTCCGGTGATTCCCAGCAGCAAGGTCTCTGCCCCGATGAGGGAGGAGGGCCTTTGGCTCCCCTGATTGGGTGTGTCTCCCCTCATTCACTTAATCATTCAACATAAATTACCAAGCACAAGCACCAGGGGAGGCAGCTGCTGTGGTGAGTGACATGCCTCGTCCCAGTCATTGAGGAGCCTTCAGTCTAGGGCCCCCTGTTCCTCACTAGAGGCTGGCTTTGAGTAGGAAGAACCTAGGCTATGAACTTTCCACGTGACTGTGAGCCCACCCGTTCTCTCCCTGAGCCTCAGTTTCCCCACCTGTAATGTGGGTGGGGTAAAGGGTATGCAGCTGGTACTCTGCAGCTTCCTCCAGCTCAGGCATGGGGTGAGTCTGTGATTCCAGCTTCGCAGGGAGTCAGCGGCCCCAGTGCAGATGCTTCCCTGAGTGCCCAGGCTGGGTGCAGAGCCCCGGAGCCCCTGTGCTCGCCCTTGTCCCAACAAGGGTCCTGCTGCAGTGGAACCATCTGTTGACGTGGCTGGTGCCCTGTGAGAGTGTGAGCTCCTTGGAGGGAGTGACCTTGTCTTGCTCTTTGCCATGTCGCCATGTCCAGCACAAGGCCTGGCAGAGAGCAGGGCCACTTTAAAGGCGGCCAGGAGCATGCATCAAATATGTACGGGCAACTCAAAGCGGAACCGGGGGCTGCCCTCAGTGGCTCACACAGGGGGAAGGTGGGGGCTTCAGGGCTATGGCTGAGTTGGTGGTGGAGCTGGGAGGAGGTCCTTTCATCCCCATTTCCCTCATTCTGGTAGTTGCCAGAGGTCCTTTGGACTGGTTGGGTGGCTGACATAGCAGGGACCCCTAGTCTCAGAGTTGAGCCCCCATGGTCCATTTTCCACGCACATCCCAAAATGTGAGCGTGTTCCTCCACAGCGCAGAGGTGCTCGTCTCACTTCGAGTAAAACTCATGTCCTTGAATCAGCCTG